TGTGCTTGGGATTGCCTCGACCCACGTGCTTAATTTTGGAAGGTTTGTAAAATAGCTTATGTTTGCGTATTCTTTGTTTGTGGCAAAAATAACAATTCATATGTCAATTTTATGGTATACATAGTTAACACTGGTAGCAAATATAGGCTTCCTGTCAGGCGTGTAAACTTACTTCCCTGTTTTCATTTTATCTGTTCCTCCTATGTATTTATAGTTATCTTTTTTCTGGAGGATACTATTTAATTGTTAGCCTGCAGAGGAAACACAAAGGAGAGCAAACTAAATTATCTTTTTTGTCCATCCTTAACAGGATTGCTCAATGCTTCCTAAAGCACGCTCAACGGTCCATAAAACCACAGTCACTACTCTACTAATGTTAAACAAAAGAACTACAGGCTGTACTCTATCTGTAAAGCCTTTATTATAAGTGATGATATGCAAGAAAAAAATGTCAGTCTGACCTTAAAATCAACATTTTAAATGTACACACATGTATACGTAGGTTTTTTAGTTTTCTGATAAAGCATATTATTTAATGTAGAAACCAACTAAGTTTAACCTAGAAGCCGTGAACTGACAAACTCCTACAATGCTGTCATTGTTCTCTACACTTTCACTCAGACTTCTGAAATTCTGATTGTATTAACATTTAACTCCAACAGACGGAAAATAATACAGGAAGTTCTGGTAATTATTTTTGTAAACTCCTACTAGAAACAGAGAAGCTTTTCATAGAAATTTTATTTCTGAAACAGTTATCTAGGCACAAACAAATAGATAAATGCTTAATAAAAAGACACACAGGCCTAGCTGGCACGGTATTCCAGATATTACACTCATTTAATTATGTCAGTTTTCATTTATATTCTAATTTTTAGGGTGATCTATGTTTTCAGAACTGCATTTTTAGTTACATTTAGTCAAATTTCTACATATGCTTGGAAAATAGTATTGGTAAACTTTTTTCTTATTCTACAACTATGGCAATTCTATAGTGAGCTTTTACAAAAAGTAAGAGGTAGTTAAAAGAGACATACCCTTTCTGTAGAGGCCTTTTGTACGTTCAAGATTTTAACTCCATTTGGCAGATGAAACTCATGAGTTTCATAGTCTGTGCTGAACAAGGTATTTTGTGTCCGTGGGTCAACAAATTCCATGCCAATATCGCTGGTAATAGAAGTTTTGTCTTTTTCCACACTAAGCTTGGTTGTTCCTTGCTGAAACACAATCTTCAGAAACAAAGTCATTAAGTTAAAGATGTTTCAAATATAATGTTTATTCATGTGACTGCAATTCCATAGTGTTGCTGACAACTTTTAATTCATGACATAACTTACAGGCTGATTATTTCCAGTGATCACCAAATCTTCATTACGTCTGCCTCCTACAGTGCTTTTATATAATGGATGTATAACGCCCATGTCAGAAACTTGCTTAAAGCGCAACAAGCCACTCTCATGGAACTCCATACTGTCACAACCATTGGGACCAATTCTAATCACCGCCCAGATAACTAGTGTAATCTGGAAGACAAACACATATTTTCAAAGACTACTTTGATTATTTTGATCTTCCCCCAACAAGTACTGTATTAACTAGATGTTTTATTTGAAAGAACTATTAATGCTGGTGTTTGAGTGAGCTTTAGGTGTGAATTTAGTCTGTTTAATCCCTACTGGAAACATCATAACACATTTAATTATGAAAAGTATTTTACATTATTTTTATAGTCATGTGAAATGGTAACTAAAATAATTTGTGTATATATATAAAACATGTATATTTGAAATTAAATCACATCCATAATTAAATATTTTTCCTGTTTAAGGGTAACCATGGTGTCATTAAACAAATTTCCTGAACAAAACAGCTCAGCTTAGGATACACTTACCCTTGAACTAAAATAAAGCACCTTGACAGGTAGATGTCCAATTATGAAAAATAATTCATTACTTCTCATTAATCAAGCAATAAGCAGTGGTAGTTACAACAATGAAGCTTTAAAGTGCAGTGGCTGATTAATTCTGAATGCTTATGTGTAGCTCTGTTATTATATGTAAAATGTTCCTGGTGTAACAGTTTATCCTGAATATATTTGTACTGCGCTAGTAACACTTTGCACATTTGCTGTTACTGACTTTTGGGAATGGATAGACACTTTCAAGTTTCCTAATTCTGTGCCTCATACACGGTGGGTTCCCTGTTGGGACCATGATAACTGAAATAATAATAACTGATCTTAAAAGATTCTTCCATCTAATCTTGCTCAGACTGAAAAAAAAGAACAAAAAAGACAGGAGAAAAATGAGAAATCTCCTTCAGTACATTTTAAGTCCTTCTCAGCCACACTGGAGTAAGTTTTACTTCTCTAGTAAACCATCAAAATTAAATATGTCCTAATGTTGCTTACAGCCTAAGTATTATACTCACAATAAGATTGATGACAGCCAAAATAAAAAGAAGAACAATCATGCAAATGGCCAAATTGCCTTTCCGGCCACGTAAGCCGGTCTTATGGAGACGGTCTTCATCAATTGGAATATATCCCGCTTTAAAGTTACTGTTGTGCTCCTTATTAACATTCCTGCGTTCCACAGCCTTCTCTCGCATGGACTTCTTCACTGGGCCATTAGAACTTTGCTATAATACAAAGCATGGATTAGCTGTTAGAAGGCATGAGATACACATGTATGTATGCAAAAAAATATAAATTTGAATTGAGTAGTGGAATATATTGCATATTATATTCAATATTATATTTCGGTCTGCCACTGTACTTAGAATACACATTTATAACCACTTCAATCTCTCCTAAAATTATGATAAAATTAAAATCCAGCTATTTTCAGACAATATATGTTTTTATATGTAATTTTTACCATGACAGGTGGAATTATTAATTACATAGTTGCAATTAAAAAAAAAAATCAGCTGTAAACAACTTCATCAAGTTCTTAACTCCTGGGGACAATACAGGACAATGCTACAGGTCATTTACCAAAACACAGGATTTTAGTTCCCTCCATGCTAATGCAGGATAGACTCCCAATCTATCCAAAAGGAGTGTGGGGGATAGTTTTAAAGTCACTTTGACAGTACAGGGATTGCATTTAGCTTCTCGTACTTGCATGCAGCATTAAGAAAAACACCGTAAGGCTTCAAACCCAGCATGGGGAACTTGGCCAGCCTAGCTTTAATTTAATAACTTGAAGTGACTAGATTGCAAGGGATATCCCTTCAATGTGATGAATTAACATGTAAACTCCTGTAGCCATTCATAGGAAAAAAACCCTTTGATGTATTTTCATAACTTTGTCCAAATTTTTTTTCTACCTCCCTTGAATGGAGCAAAGCTGATACTTAAGGGTTCAAATCTTCAAAGAGCAGGTTTGATCTTTTTGATGGGATTACGTTTGCTCATCTGAAATGAATGCTGAAGCTGCACGTTAAGCTTACTGCACTTGTATGTGACTACACTGCTATAACAGTTAAAAATGTCTTCTGTTTTCTTCTGTTGCTGAACAAGGAAAAGGTGTTGAGAAAGGTGCTTGACCTGAACAGGTTTATGGAGGGCTTCCTTGATGACATGCTGGAAGCCACTGTAACCCTGCACAAACTCAGAACTGAAGGGGAAACTGGGAGATCTGAACTCGGGAAAAGGAAAGAGAAATCCTGTACAACAAACAGGGTAGTAAGAATTGTGTCCTGAGGACAATGTGCTCCTGAAAGGATTTGATGGTGAGATAAAACGCCAATGTGTTGTTTTTTCACCTGGTAAGGGCAGCACAGCAGAAGACAGCACCAGGACCGGGAGAACATGGCTGGAAGGGTGATTACTGGACAAGTGCTGGCGCAGCCCTGCGGTGCTTCCTGAGGCACCCGAGAGCAGGCCGGCACAGCACCCCTCAGCACTCCGCCGGCACGCACACAGCCTCGCTCCCATTAAAAGTCCCGTGCAGATGCAGAAGCTACTGAGGGGTGAGCCCTCGGACCGCTCCTCCCTTCTCCCTCCGGCCTGCACGGCGCTGACAGTCCCCGTCCCGCCCCTCCGACTAGACGACAGTGACACCCTTTCTGACAAATTTAGCTTGCAGGCCAGTGTGAGAGATCGGATACTGAGCCCGAGCTCCAGTCTCTATTTATACCCCGC